GCGGGCATTTGAAAAAAACGGGCCGGGCTTCGCGGGCATTTGAAAAAAACGGGCCGGGCTTCGCGGGCATTTGAAAAAAACGGGCCGGGCTTCGTGGGCAATTGAAAAAAACGGGCCGAGGGTTGGACACCTCTAACAAAACTCAAGATCGTTAATGGGCCCTGACACAAAGAAGCTCAAAGGCTTCGCTTCTAGTTCGAGATGGAGCCAATAAGAAGGGTCCTGCTTTTAAAATGATCGGGCTTCGCGGGCCTAAGACTTAGAGACTTAGGCGCGTGAGATTGTGCCTGTCTTTTGCTAAAACAAGAATTGGGACGGATGCTGCGTTAGATGCTGATGGATAGTACTTAGTTTAGGGTTTTGGGGCCCATTACACTATAACTATAATAAGGACCCCTTCGAAATAATATAAGTAATTAGTAAGGCCTCTATATTAACCCCGGGACCAACTCTGCCCAACCTCCTGCGTGTGAGGGTGGATGGGCTTCCTTCGCCGATCGGCAGAGGGCTCCGAGGTCAAGGTTGCGGGTTTATAAAACGTATTATGCATACACTACTTGTTAAGTTATATATATATATACATCGATATATATATATATATATATGTCTTTAAGTTTGTGTGTGCCCTTTCCTGTCGCTCCCGGCTGGAGTTTAGGTTTAATTTGCTCACGGGATCTAAGTATTCGGCTTCTACTGGATGGGCTTTAATTTTTGTCGAGCCTTCATGAATCACTTGTTATTGGTCAGGATTTTGGCTTACGCTACCATAATAAAGAGACCGCATGTTTGGATCCCTATTCTCGTGACTCATACTGAATCCCATAACAAGAACCCAGATCAGGGCACAGGCACATGTAGAATCTAGATCTATTGCTTCGCGCCTACGTAATCGTTTTGTTTTTATGGTCCATATACACTTATAGTACAACATACACGAAAACCCATTCGTATCATGAAGGCCCCCATGTAAATGCAGCACACATCTAGCAGCCCAGGAATCAACTACATGGTGCCGTTACAGAATAGACACCAACAGCCCCACTAAGCACAGCACCTCAAACCCTGGGGCACGAAAATGCCACAACCAGCATCGCAATCGTCAGCATGCTGCACATATCTGACGTCATCCTGGGCATAGCCATCATCCTCACCCTTACCATCTTGAGCATAACACTATGACCGCCTTCATCATCCCTTTAATCGGCATCCTGACCATCGTCATCCTGCTGCTGCTGCTCCTCCTCCTCCTGCTCCGACTCCACAATGCTGCTCCTCCTGCTCCTCCTCCTCCGCCTCCTCCTCCTGCACCTTCTCCTCCTTCTCATCCCCATCTGCTTCCTCCTCTAAGTCCTCCTCCTCCTCCTCATCACCATCTTCATTGTCGTCATCACCATCCTCAACAGCCTCAACACCAGCTATTGCCAGCTAACACCAGCATCGGCAGCCTGAACGCGACATCCAGACTGCAGGCAAGCAGCTGCGACACTCGATGTGCTGCGCCATAGTCTCCGTGCCTCTGCCGAGCGATCTTAGGTGAGTGCTTGTCAAAATTAGGGTCCCTTTTTGGGTACCCTAAATATTAGGTGCCGTACTATATTACCGGACCCCAAAAGGGACCATAATTTTGACAACCATCCAGGTCTTTTGCAAACTTCCGTGGCTTCCTCTGTCAATGGGCCGCCAAGTTGCATCCAGTACTTGGAGCGACCCGAGGTATTCCTTGGAGATGCCAGGCATCTGCGTGAATTTATCTTACGAGGACACTGTAGCAGCAGAGGCGTACTGCGTTTCGAATCCGAACCCTAAACTCCAAACCCCAAACTCAAAACAAAACCCAAAGCCCTCAACCCTAATTGCCCCAAGCCCTCAACCCTAACCGCTAAACCTCAGTAAAACCAACGAAAAAAACATCGGTACTGCTCTGAGCCGTCCCGGGAGCATGTACGGAGGAATCTTCGGATGGCTGGGTTCGAAGGGGACGTCCTTGTCCTTTACCTGGCAGCTGCTCAGTGCGTTTAGGTTTAGAGCTTTGTAGATAAGGGCTACATAAGAGTCAGGATCAGGGGTCGATACCGGTTCTTCGGGGCGCGTAGGGTTTATGGTTGGGGGCTTCTAGGGTTGAGGCTTCCAAGCTTCGGGGCTTGGGCTTCACGATTTTCGGATTGAGGATTTAAGGTTTTAGGGTTTGGGTGGTTTAGGGTTCAGGGGTTTCGCGGCGAGGGCCTTGTGGCTGTTACTGTGTGACACTCACGATTATGGTGATGGAGAAGGCGATGTTTGTTGAGAAGGTATTGAGGATCCTTACTTGCGGCAGCGTGCACGGACGTGAGTTGACTATGTAATTACACTGCCCTAATTCGATGCGCTATGTTTGTGTTCGGGTCTTTCGCGATCTAAGGGATTTCTACAAGAACGGCGTGGTTTTGGGGAACCACAGACAGGGCGCGCTTAGAAATTTAGCCTGAGCCCCGAACCCTGTGGCAAACTTACAACAAGTCTGCATACCCCAAGCCCCTAAAGCCCGTAATGTAGGGGCTTTAATGAATATGATAGGGTTTCGGGGTATATTACACTATATTTGTAATAAGGAACCACAGTAGTACAATACTATAGGTAATTATGAAGGCCCCATATTCTAAACCGTAAACACCCCAAAAGCCCACAATAGTATGGGTAAGTATTGAGGCTCCTATATTCGCCCCTAGGCCGTAAGCCGGAAACACCCCAAAAGCGCCGCTTCGAGTCGGGCTTTGCGGGGTTCGGGTTTGCGGGCTCGGGGCTTCTATACTGAACTTAGACCCCTAGCAAAAACTATAATTGTAGCTGCTTCTTAGGGTTTATAGTAGCCAAAAATTTATAAAATATTTCTAAGTACCCCTAAGGTTTAGGGTTCCGGGTTTAGGCGTTTAACAGTTGCGGTTCAGGGTTTCAAGTAAGGGTTTAGTGTTTGTAGGACATTTTGCGTAGCAGCCGTAAACCTGCGGGCCCACGCAAAGCCATCTCTTATCACTACGTGCGATTAGTCTTGCAGTCATCATGCTTCCTATCATATTTCAGAGACCCCTAAACCCTAAACCCTAAAGCCGACTGCACATGCCCGTGGGAACTGCAAAAACCAGGGGTTTCCTCAACACCCCCTGTGATGTATCAAAGATAAGACAAGTTTTGGATGCCAAGCTACACCCTAAACCCCATATCTAAGGGCTTTAGGAGGGACCCTTAATAGGGACCTTTGTAGGTTATTGGGGTTAATATGGACCATAAGCCTTAACCACCTGAAGCCTAAACCCAAACCCCCCAAGCCCCAACTCGTTTCGTCAGACCTCTGTTGGCCCCGAATCCCCACCTCGGAAGCAGCGCTAGGAGCTGACGTTTTGTTGGCCGAGCCTTCACCCAGGCCTCCGCAAGAGAGGGTCTAGGGTTTAGGGTTTAGGGGGCATACTTGGAGGTTCATGGGTAGTTATAACTGGGGTTATAACCCGTATTAGGGGACTTATAACCCCACTTATAACTACCCACGAACCTCCAGGTAGAAAAGAAGCATGGGGGGTAAGTGGTAAGTGGTAATGAGAATAGGGCTTTGGGGTGTGTGATAGTCTCGGTATATAAAGGACCAGAAGTTGATCGTACAACTAGTGCCAACTACGATTACTACCCCTATGTTGCAGGGCTCACGCTTGGGTTTTTAAGTGTCGCGGTAGGGCTTTAGCGCTTGGCGAAGCATTTGCCCCCTTTTCCGGGTCAGTTTACTAGCATTCTTGTCTTTGCGCAAATTGTGTAATGTAGGGGCTTCAAGAATTAGCATAGGGTTTTGGGGTTCCTTATTATAACTATAGTATAACATACCCCAAAACCCTGTTCTAATTACTAAGGCCCCTAAACCCGAAACTCCTATAGTAGCCCTTATAGGACCCTTCAAGGAACCCCTTAAAAGGGAACCCCCAAAACCCTATTCTAATTTCTAAGGCCCCCTAAATTATAGTACCTCTATAATAGACCTTATAGTATCCCTTTTAAGGAACCCTTTCAAGGAACCCTATTGAAATTATTAAGGCCCTTATGTAATCATAGGGCTCCTGGTAAATTGAAGCTTTCTGCTAAAGGCCCCTACATTCACAGAGAGAAGCTGAGGGTTGCCCCGTCTTGCAGGGCTTCTTGTAGGTTATTGGGGTTAATATGGGGACTACCTGGCTATATAAGGGGTATATAAGGACTATACCATGGATTTAAGGTAAAAGTCCTTAGATTTAAGGTTTGGGAGTTGCAGGATCTCTGGGGGGTGCGCAGGTAGACTAGTCAGTAGGGGTTATAAGGGGCCCTTTAAGAAATCTATAGGGAAGGGGGCCTTTAAGGGATCTATACGGGGGGGGGGCCCTTCAAGGGATCTATAGGGGGGGTACTATTAAGGTTGAGGGTTTTGGGCTACTTGGAGGATCAGGGGACTTAGTAAGTAAGGTTATAAGTACCTAATTGGGGTTAGAAGTAATTAGAAGTCTAATTACCTTATTTATAACCCTAGTTACTAAGTGCCCAGAACCTCTACGTATGGAACGCATTAGAAGATAATCCTTCGAGGATGGTCAGTGAACAGCATGATCCCACCTTGAGGCGCAACCCTTGACCCTCTCGTGTCTGTTGGGGTTGCAAGGTGTAATGTAGGGGCCTTAACAATTTGAATAGGGTTTTAGGGTATATCATACTATAACTATCATAAGGAACCCACCAAAATAGTATTGGTACTTATTCAGGCCCCGATAGTAGTTTTCGTGGGTTGAGAACTTAGGGTTTATGTTCACAGGTCTTTTGTTGACAAGCGCTCGTTTCAGATGCTTGCACAACAAGAACTTCCGGCAGGTCTCTGGGTTCTTTGTTCAATAGTTAGTTAGACGGAGAGAAAATGTGAATAGTGATAACTGTGTTATATAAAGATATTAGCACTGGGGTCATTCATAGTGCAAGTTATACTGACAAGAATAAGAACAGTAATGGCAATATCAGCAACAGTATCAGTCATAGCCATACTACTACTACTACTACTACTACTACTACTACTACTGAAAAACAAATCAGTGATAACAAGCATAGTGACACGAAGCACAATAGTCACAACGCCTTGTAAAACTGTGTCGGCATCGCTCTTCGAAGTGAAGGGTTCAGAGCATCTTCGTGAAAAGAGATCGTAAACTTCCGGTCTCTTGTTTCTACAAAACCTTGCCGGTCATTTCAAGCCCTGCTTTGCCTTTAAAGCCCTTATCCTGAGTTCCTAAACCCTAAACCCTAAATCCCTAAACTCCTAACCCCTAAACCCTAAACCCCTAAACCCTAAACCCCTAAACCCTGAAGCCTTAAACCTGGGAACTCTGAAGCCCCTAAAGTCCTGTCGAACACTCACAGATTCTTCAGAGCCCGGGCTCTCGTGCAACCCTCGGCTGTGAACCTCTAATATAGAGGCCTTAACAACTAGAATAGGGTTTTGGGGCCCATTATACTATAATTATCATAAGGAACCCACCCAAAATAGTATAGGTATCTATTCAGGCCCCTGTATTATAGCCTCAGTGTCCTCGACCGTTCAACTCCAAAGCATTTTTTATCCTTGGCATAAAAGGGCCTTCAGAAGTAGAGTACGGTTGATGATCTAAACCCTGCGTTGCCTTAAGGACCCTAAACTATGGGAAGCAAAGTATATTCCTTATTATGGGTAATGCAGGATTTATATTATGAACAGTAGTAGTTGTTTAACAGCTTCCTACAGGGACCCTTAAACAGCTCTTTTTGGAGCTTTCGGGCCTTTGGTTCTGACCGAAATCAGAGAATCAAGTGGTCCGTGGAAGCTAGATCGGGTGGTTACTGGGGTTTGGTTAAAACCGTAAACCCCAAACTCTACATTTATACAGGGTTGGCTGTCTCAATGACAGTAGACCGGGCCAGATTCCTTAGGCCGTTAGTCTGGAATTCCTTGAGTTAAGGGGGGTTGCTGTGCTCGATCCCACTTGCTAAAAGCCACCGCTCCGGTGATGACTTACAAGTCTCCTGTAGACTGACAGAGACCTATACTAATTAGGGTTTAGGGTTTAGGGTTTAGGGTTTAGGATTAGACTACCACTAATAAGGCTAACCATGTTAATGACGATGCAATGCATGACTTTGGCACATGCGTCCATCGTAGCGGTTTGTTAGACTGCGTATGATCGCCCGAACCGCTCAACACCTCGCAGCACAAAGCTCTGAGAAATCTGAACGCCTGAATCCTAACCCCCAGATTCTGTGTTTTGGAGGCTCGTGTACTGGGTGCCCAGAGGATTCGGGTTTCTCCCAGGCCTTTGTGCTCACCTCCGCCCGCTCCGCCCGCTTGAGCGCCCAGCTGTTTCAGCAAGGTCCCTGCGGGCAGATGAATCTGAGAGTGTCGGAGCGTAAACCTACGGGTAGGTAAGGACTTGCTCTGTGTCTGGTCTCCCAACCTAGTGGGTAACTGTCAAAATCATGGTCCCTTCTGGGGAACTGCATTTAATTCCACCCCTAACATGGCACCGTCAGTTTTTCACAACCCACAATATGACTCCCAACTTGACCGCAAGACTCCGAACGCTGACATCCTCAACGAAAGTCTTTGCAGCCAGGTTGCGTTCCACGTCCTCCACTTTCTCGAGCCTGAAGTTGGAGGCATCCAGTCGTCCAGAATACCTGGTTTGGGCTTCGTGGTACGCAAGCTGTCCATGTGTCTGCATTCGAAAAAGCATTGGCATCAACAAGCACGGCGGTGATAAAGACTATTACTAGCACTGCGGCGGCGACGACAAGGACAACGACAACCCCTACCGCTACCGCTACCACCACCACAGCCACAGCCACAGCCACTGCCACGGAGTCACTGCCACCACCACTACCGCTACAACAACAACAACAACAACAACAACAACAACAAGTAGTAACTACTACTACTACTACTACTACTACGACGACGACGACGACGACGACGACGACGACTGCTACGACGACGACGACGACACAACGACGACGACGACTACCACTAAAACTACTACTACTACTACTACCACCACGACGACGACGACGACGACGACTACTACTACTACTACTACTACTACTATTCATAGTTCCTACCAACTGTGACGGCGGAAGTCTGTGATTCCCATGAAAGCCTGTATACTGGTTGCTTCGAGTACTGTGCAGCACTTGGGGAAAGCAATTGGATATGCCTAGTGGGCAGGGTCGAAGGGGGGGCAGCTCACGATGCCACAGTCTCCGACAGCTTGCGCAGGATTGCCTGGACACGTGGTGTGGTGACCGTTGCATGGAGGGAGGGGGGGCTGGGGCATCATCACAGCCATAGAAGTGGTGGTGGTAGTAGTAGTACCAGCAGCATCAGCAGCAGGAGCAGCAGTAACTGCAGTCGTAGCAGCAGCGGGAGTACGAGGAGGTGGAGGAGGAGAAGGGCAGAAGCAGCAGCAGCAGTGGCAATAGTATAGTGCGAGGCCAAGAACAGTCGACATAGTGACGATAATGGCCTGCATAACTAGAACAGGATCTGGGTGGAAACCTTGCAGCATGCTTACACAGGAAGTGTAGACGCCAGCATCACCAAGCATCATCATTTATTAAGGCCACTATGCTAAACCGTTCTAAATGAATGCCCTAGAAAACCTTTGAATCCATATAACCCCTTTTGACTAACCTATATTGCTGATCCGACAAAGGTGTGGGAATCCGGGGAGGATCTAGAACAGTTCTCTCAAGCTTTAGAGGGTTTTATACACCCTATAGAATAGGACCCTCAGCACAAGGATTCCGAAAAACAGCCAGCAAGTCCTACCTCTGCAGCACGCAACCCCTTCAACATCCTGGCCCTAGCACATCGCGGTGCGGGTCGCAGGTAAGATCATGTCGCCCTAATCCCTCATACTTAGAGGTTCATGAGACTTAGTAACTAGGGTTATGAATAAGGTAGCTAGACTTCTAATTACTTATAACCCCAATTAGGGTACTTCTCCTCATAGACCCATCGGCGGCCCCCACGACCCTATACAGCCCCTGCGAACCCCTTACAAACTCGGCCTTCCCCACAGAAGATGAAAGTACACACGACCTTAAACCCTTGTCAAGCCCTGTAGAAGCCCTGCAGAGCTTTCAACGGAACTCTCTGAAAGGCACCCTTTTCCGCTAAAAGACCCCACAAGCAACACCACGGCACTTCGACAATGCGTCGGAGGACTTAGTAAGTAGGTTAAGTAGAGTTGTAAGTGCCCGAAATGGGATCTTATTTGAGGTCATGGATACTCATAGCTATATAAAATGAATACTACGTCCCCTGACCCTCCGAGTAGCCACCAAACCCTAAACCCGAAGCCCTTATAGTAACCATATATATCCCTGAAACGGACTCTTAAGCTTTTTAAGTCAACCCTTATACAATACCATAGACCCCTTAAAGGGACTTTTAAGATTTGGCTACTACGTCCCAAGATCCTCCAAGGGCACTTCGAGCCTCGATGGAGCTGAAATGGGCATCTTCGGAGGACGCTGTGCCAGGACCTCCCAGGGAGCGGCGGGACTTCGAGGTCGTGACGTTCTTCTGGGATTTTTTTTTCGGATTTTTCGGGTTTGGGGCTTCGTGGTTTAGGGTTTAGGGTTCTGTAGGATGTTTCGGGTTTGGGGTTTAGTTTTTCTTTAAATGTGTATTGGGCGCCCCTTTTCCGAAGCTCCAGCCCAAGGAGTTTAGGGTTTAGGATTTAGGGTTCTATAGGATTGCTCTTGAGGGTCTTGCAAGAGTTTGGTAAGGGTAAGAGCCATACTATTTCAAACGGGGCTTCGCAAGTAAGAGTAGGTTACACTGAAGCTGTCCTAACTGTATGCTTCAAATCTAGTTTGTTTTTGTTTTGGACATTGTGGGGAAGGGGAGGGGGGTCCTTTTACCATAAGGACCCTACTACTTGCTGTTTCTTCTAAACCCCCGTCGTATGTTCTGAACATCCGAAGAATAAGACCAGGGTTTGGGAAGCTCTTTACGTATATTCATATGTGTACATTGACATATGTATCAGTATACTGACAAAAAATACATACACAAATGAGTTAATCAATGAATCAAAATAAATACGCATATCTATATCCATACCCGAACCTATATCTACATCTGTCTATATTTATCTACCTATCTATCTTTATCTACGCATCTTCCCATCTATCTACCTGCCTACCTGCGTACCTACCTACCTACCT